CTTAGGAACATCTTGCTTAAATCTTTCTCGGGAAGTGGTGGATGAACTTGAGATGCTAACTCCTTCCATCGTTGGGCATATTCTTTGAAAGATTCATCGTCATTCTTACTCATGTCCATCAATTGATCACTGTCTGGAGCCGCGTCCAAATTATAATTGTACTGCTTTATAAAAGCATCAGCTAAATCTTTAAAAGACTGAATACGACTCCTTTGTAGCTTCGTATACCACATCAAGGATGCCCCAGATAAGCTCTCTTGAAAGCAATGAATCATCAACTCGTCGTTGTCAACATAAGCAGCTATCTTCCGGCAGAACATCGTCAAATGATCTCTTGGACAACTAGTACCCTTGTACACTTGAAAGACAGGCATCTTAAACGTAGGAGGAATAATTACACCAGGAACCAGACATGAGTCACGAGCATTAAAATCATATGTATCAGCTCCTTTTGTCATCTTTAATTGCTCTTTGAAATCCCGAAGTTCTTTCTCCATTACATCCACCTTCATCTTAGTACGAACATTCTGAAGATTAGGTACATTTTGTAGGGGCTGGGAAGCTTGAACCACCAAGTTGTCTTGCACAGGAGGAGGTTGAGTAGGAACATCCACTTGTTGAACATTGTCGTGAGAAGGAAGATCGAATAACGGATTAGTCACAACCCTGAAACCGGCCGAGGAGTCCATATCTTTATTCTCTTTACTATCCTTCAATAATACTTCAAGCTTGGTCAGATGGTCGAGATGTCAACTGATAGAAAAAGACGGAAAACTGAATGAGGACATAGAGGAGAAGAGACTCATGCACATGTAAATGTTGGATGCATGATGCGAGAATGCATAATGCTAATGCAAGAATGTAAGGATGAAATGTTTCATGGAACTCAAGTTCTTATAAACATTACAGAGTACCAAAGAAAATCATTTTAATATTTTTATGTGTATATATTTTTATTAGATTACAAATAAATATCCTCTTAAGAGTCCTAACATAATATCTAAATAAAAGCTAAAAAAGTCCTAAGGAAGTCCTTCATCTTGTTTAGTGATTTGTTCCTCCACTTGGATCTCCTTGAAGGTAAGCTCGCCCATGATCAAAGTCTAAAGAGTAGTTTGATAGAGGAAAATAAATCCTCCATCCCTTCTTTTGCTCTTGTTGGAAAATGAGAAATGGATCCCTTGTTTACTTGGATCTTTGATGATGATGAGAGTCTTTTGAACTTCTAATGATCCTCCATGTTAAGGGAAGCCTTCTATTGATCTTCAATGATAAGGAAGTCTCTTGTATTTGTCCTTTGGAGTTTCTTGATTCTTCAATTGATGCCCCTAACTTCCTTAGGTCATCCAAGCTAGGACTCTTAAAAGAATATTTCAAAAAAATATTTTCTATTTGTAATCTAAGTTGGTTTTGTAATGTCTGTAAATAAACTAGGAATTCCATGAAACTAATGCAATATGATGCTATATGGATGCAACAAACACAGGTATTCACATAAGGACACAAAGATAAACAAATAAGGGGAACCCTAGGTTTGCAACGAGCATGGAGCAAGGGTATACCCAATCTCAAAGGGATGATGGACTAGAGGTTGTTTGTACCTGCAGAACAAGGTTCTAATGAAGTTCCCAAAGTCATCAGCCCATCTTTCGGATATTATCAACTTCCCAAGTACTCGGGGGTTAATAATATTCTCAAGAGAACTTCTTTCGAGTGTAGCATCGCGTAGCACTATTTCGGGGGTACCCCCTCATAGTCCCGCACTACGTCCTAATAAAGGCCAAAGCGGGGTTAAGGTAACTACGGTCCTCAATATCATAGGCTCCAACATCGAATATAGTGCATGTTTTCACGATTAAAGACTCGTTTAACAATACATATTTCGAGAGGGCCTCAATTGAGCATGATTTTCAAGTTAGCTTGGTCGGGATTCCACCCCCTATAAGCCTCTTTGAACATATCACTATCCTATCTTAAGTTCACTCAAGTCCGGGTGTAGGACTTTGTCTCACCACTCAAGAGTATCAACCCAAGAATACAAACAAATAAGCAAGTAAACAAATAAGCAAATATAAGCAAATATAAAAAGCAATAAAGAAATAAAACAAGATAGGGAGACCCACTGAGAGGTCCCCAGTGAAGTCGCCATTTCTGTCGCCGGTGAAAATCGGATACCAAACTATTGATTAGTTTGAATCTTTAATTCATTTTGCAACCGAACTTTGATTTGTCCAAAGGAAGGGATAAAGATCGAAATTCCCACAATGCAATGCAAATGCAAGCTAGATTGTTTAGGTTCGGGGGTTGGTTAAACTTAGGGAAGGTACTAGCATCCTAAGTTTCTGTAGTACTCTACAGGAACCTCTTGTTTTATGTTGTTTACTGCTATGTGTTTATCTGCTTAAGGGATTAAAGACCCTAGTGGTTTGTTTCTAAGTATACTCGATAAGGCATCGCATCTTATGCCTACATATCCTTACGGGAGTGGAATCAGAGTATGTTGTAGTTCACCCTAAAGGGTTAGAGGAGTTCTTTGACTGTGGTCAAAGTTCCTACGGGTTTAGGGTAGTTGTTTTGATTGGGTTTAGGAGAAGAGATGAGTCTTCATTTTAAGGGAGAGATAACCACCACAAATGTAAGAGGGTTGTAGGAAATGGTCTTTGCATCGTCTTAAGAAAAGGTCTTACATACTCGGATGGTCGCCGAGTGTGCCTTTGTCGTTCTTAAGGCAAAGTCCCTACATGTTTGATTGTATTGTTTGTGGGGTGGAGATTATATCTCGCTTAAGATGATTAACGTCTATTCTCTATTTGTGTTTGAAAAAGTTGTATTGTGTTGATTGTTTTGTTTCTATGTTGTAAAGATTAAAGACAAGGTCCTTCCTATGGGGTAGGATCTATCTTAAGTGATCCACTTGAAGAATCAAGGATCGAAGGGAATATGATGCAAATGATGTGCAACTACACACAACGTTGAATTATGTGTAGGTTTTTCCTTTGGACTGTATGCGATGTATGAATAGATAAATATGATAATGTAAATGCAATAGAATAAATTGCAGAAAGATAAACCATACACGAACGCATGAAAGCGCTAAGTGAATGTGTGTGCATTGTGAATAAGAGCAGATAACGATAAACAAAATGTACGCATGAAAGCGCTAAGTGTACAGATGTGTAAATGTGTTGTGAAGTGGCGTGCACGATTGATTGTATATTATGATGTTGACGGATTTTGATTTTAGTTTGAAAAAAAAGCTGATTTGATTTTGGTTTTGTCTATTTAAATTAATCATATTTTCCTAAAAGAAAAGGTTTTAAGCAAGAATTTTAATATATTAAATAAGTGGTTTTATTAATATTATTACCAAATATTATAAAAAACTTATTATATAAAAAAATGTAGAAGATTGATTTTTATTAATAAAATAAGTAGGTTATAAAGTGAATTTAATAATAAAATGGTTCTACTATTATTAATTATAAAATAGTTTTTATTATGTTATAGATTTATTAAAAAAACAAAGACTTTTAATTATTATAAAAAAAGCTAACAAGTAAATTTGATTAAAATGGGGTTTGCTGTAATTTATTTAAAACAAACAGGCATATTATCTTAATTAAAAAAGGGTTTATTAGTTTGATTTTAGTTATGATTAAATAAAAAAAAAGGGATTAAGGTTGATTTTAAGATGATTAGCGGGTGATTAAAGATTTAAGGGTGGTTTAGTGGTGTGTGGTGATGTGTGTGTGCAGTGATTATGGTTATTACATTAATAAATAAATAAAATAAACAAAATAATAAAAACCCTAAATCCCTCCCGGTTTCCCCTTTCCGCCGCGTGCTCGGTCCTCTTCTCCCTTCTCTTCGCGATCTGAGGTTCCTCTCTCTCTTTCTCCGATGGCCACCTTTCTCTCATCGTCTACATTTCGCTCTCGTTCTCCTTCCTGACATACTTTCATCCGCCATTCTTTCGTCTATGAAATTAACGAAGCTCTTTCCCCAAGCTCGGTTCGTGGTCGAACGATGGTCCTTACAATGATTCAAACAGAAAACCAATCACAAGATATATGAACAAACATTATGAATCAAGTGAAAGAGTAAAGGAGTTTCACCGATTCGTTAATAGCAAATGGCGGCAGCGTTCCAGTGTGAAGCGGTTGGTGGACGGTACGAGAGCTTGGAGTGCGTGAAGGAGATCTCGCGTCCTTGTGAGGGGAAATCAGATAAGTTTACTTTCTTCCTCACACGCTCTTAGGGTTTTCTTTCCGAATGTGGGATTGTGATTTTTCTTCATGACATTCGGGCTTTGTGAATGCTGTGGGTTTTGTCTGTGTGTTTTTCGTTGGATCTCTCCTTTTGTGTGTTCTAATTTGTCTTCTTATATAGGGTTGCAGGATACAGAGCGAATTGAAGGTGTTTCCAATTCAAGCGGAGCATGCTTGGACGAATTTGGAACGGATTGATGGTGATGATTCTTTCCTGAGAAATTTCGAACTAGTTTCCATTCTTGCCTGATTAAAATATAATTCTTTCCTTTCTGTTACCAGCGGGTATCCATTGCCATTGAATAGTGTCAGAACCCGGTTTTGGAAAGAGTTGAATAATGTCTGAAATATGTTGGTATTAAGTAGCTGCTATTAAACTTCGATCCTGTATAATTGTATTGTTTTGATTTTGGAATCGTGCAGGATTTTCAACTTGATAGATGGAAATCTTCTTCTCCTATTTGAACTGCAACATTGCTATTTACGTTCTAAAACTTGGCTCTTCTTCTACAGGTGTGCCAACTTAGATTTAGCAAAGGTATGACGCGAGTACTGGATTAGGATCACCTGTCTGCTGCGGGACTGGTTACTTGCATTCTCTAGCTTCCAATGAGATTGACCTTGTGACGATTCCGGTTGGCGGTAACAGGTTTTCATGGCAGGTGATAGTATCGCATTAGTATCAACGGAGGCCACGTAATGTCGATGGTGGCTATTCTCCCCTTTTTACCTTCAGTTCCTTGAACTATCTGTCGGCGCCATGACTATTGCAACAGACTCTGGCAGCATAATATGGGTCCACCCAAGGGGGAAAAGCGATCGTTTATCCTGCACTTCAAATATTTCCTCTTCATTTGTAGTCTGACAAAGCAAACCAGCAAGAACACCACAAGTCTCCAAATTTTTCTTAGTATTTGACTTGGCAAGATTCATAAAGCTCTCCATCAAAGCAGTTGAAATGTGCAATTGCAGAGGAGATTCAACATGAACACTGCTATCAGATGATGGAATCTCTGCCTTACATCCTGCCTCATTAATGTGAGGTGACATTGAAGGGACCAAATCATGCACTTCAGCAAGTACAGGTGGAGGAGAAGGTTGTCTAATAATTTCTATTTGAGCAGAGGTTTCTTCTGTTGCTTTAAAAGATATAAGAGAAGGAGATTCCTGAGTGTGTTGGGGCTGGCTGTCTTCGCTCTCGGTAGGAATTGAATTTAAATCTAATTTATGGAGTTCTGCAATGCTACTATCTTTATTACTCGGAGATACATCTTCCAAGTGACGTTGCAAGCTTGGCAGTTCAACTGGAGACAGATCTATGTTGGATGGATACCTGACCCCTGTGTCAATAGTAGGTGACCGCCACTGCCCATTAAGCCCATTGGGACCAAGAATAGAATGTCCAGAGAGAGTTTCCTCCTTTGGAGGTGGCAGAGTTAGAGATAGTCTTCGCACGTGCTCTTCTACAGGCTTGACATATGAGAAATGTTGACCACTTGATCCTTGGTAAGCAAATTCCATAGCAGTTGCTCTGACAGGCTTTATTTGGCCATTACTAGCCAAAGTTTGCTTTTGCGCAGAAGAAAAATCCACGTTATTGTTTGAATGAAAATTCCCCCGTCCATTTTGTCGGTGAGCATTTCTGCTGTTAATCTCGTTGATCTTCTGCTGGGCTAATGGTTTCAGCTTCTCTAGTTCATTCAATCTCTTTTTCAATGACTGTTTCTTGGTTTGTGGAGATGATCTATACTCTCGGTGACGCGGTATTGTCTCAGATGCCAAACTAGAAAATCTCAAAAGCATGACATATAGGTCAATAATGTTCTTCTCTGCGCGAAAGATGTCGGCCTGCCGAAGTATGTTATCAGCAATCCGATAATAAAACCGAAGAGCAATTCGATTATCAACATCAAGCTTCTGAGCACTCGCAGCGATATTGATCGTACCCGAATCAGCAGCAGTAGAAGAAGAAGACCTCATTTTTTTTGTTGATTGAAATTCTCCAAATGCAGCGTATCACTGTGTTCTTGTTGTTATTAGAGAGAGAAGAAGAAACATTAATGGTGTTGTTGGTTGCTTGCAGGGTGTTAATCGTGATGCAGTTGAGGTATTCTCTTTAATCAAGCAAAAGCGAAAGGTTCAAACTCCAAGCAGTAAGGACTCTTTGGCGTTATCAGAAAATTGCATCTCCCGATCTAACTCCCATAGGTGGTGGAAGACCAATATCCCGGAGCCGCTTTCTAGTTCACGAGGCTGCATATCCTGTATTAGGAGCTTCTTGAATGATGGTTCACTAAACATTCTCTTGCACAACGTAACTTGGTGTAAACCCATGATGTCACAATTTAAGAAAACAGCTTGGCGTGATAATGATTAGAAGCACTTTCTTTTGTATACGTAAATGGATTTGTGATCATTTAGTTAAGTGGAGAATTGTAATAAACATTGGCTCACGGTTCCATGACAGCGAACAAGTTATGTACCAAACTCAATTAACACTTCTTGATCTTAAAACACCTTCTCCTAAATGATTTTACATCCCCGCTTCGAGTTTTTGCATTGTTAAACCTTGAACACGTAAATTTATTCAAGCATGATATCTTAAGTTGGCGATTAATATTCCATAAAAGGTGCGTCATGGGCCTCGTAGTATAGGGGCCTTCAAACTGGGCGTTGTACCGTAAATAATGTTTCTAGTTCTTTAACAAAACAGCAAGGACAATCAGCCGGTGGGCCAAGGCGTGATGTTTTGTACAACTTGGATATGTCCTTAAGAGTGGATTAATGGGGTGGAAAGCTCAAAGTGAATCTTGAGTCTGAGGTCCAATTTGAACTTCGTGAGACTATAACTCGAGTTGCAAACTTTCAAATCTGAATCACCACTTGCATCACACGATAACCTGACCTTGACCAATCTCAAATGTTGCTTGTGAACCCTAAGTTAAAACTCGCTCCTTAATCCCTTCGCACCTTAATCACTGTGATTCGTGGCTTGTCCACGGGATGCTTGATCATAAGAGTTTACATGAAAATATTGCACCTGCACAAATTGATTAGCGGTAGAAAATGCGTAAAAGTATAGAGACAAAATATATATATAAAAAAAGAGATGGCATCTTATGGTCAAAAATTAGGGTGCAACATATACCAACTTAAGAGTTCTTTCAATTTATTGACAAACATACAAGACATTACAATACAAGGCATTACAATTTGGAACTTCAGAAATTACAACATCAAGCCTTTCCAAATTCAGAATGTGCTCGTACACCAAGATTACAAATGTAAACCTAAAGCTAAGAAATTCACATTAATTTGTTACAATCTTTATTAGAGCCTTGAACTTCAACAATTCATACAAGAACTTCAAGAACCTCCATTGTTACTGCTGCCGCCGGACATGTTTCGTTATCATCCTACCTGTAAGAAAAAAGACATATATCAGTACTTTGATTGAGTTTAACCATTCAAATATCGTTTCAGTTTAATTAAAAGGAGGTATAGCATCCTCAGATTTGAAATCATCATTGGGTCCGCAAGCAACCAAACAGGGGAAGGACAGGGTCGGTCCTACGACGACAGCCGCCAACCTCCAGATCCTGCCTTTCTTAAAAAGCCAACAAGAATTCCAACAATTCAAGTACAGAAATTAATGTTATAAGCCCTTAGATTTCAAAATCATCATTGAGCAAGAAAGGGCAACGAAGCACTCGCTACCATCTTCAAATATCGGACAAGACAATTTTCGGACAGCCTTCAACATAACTTAGAAGCATCATAAGACACCAAACAAATCAGAAGCAACAATAACGATTTCAAGCCCTCTTTATTCAGACTATTATGTCATCATCACCGGATACGAAAACTCTTTCTTGATGACATAAGACAGGCAGCACCTGAAGCTAAAACAACGTCCTGAAAGAAGAAGAAAAAATGTTAATACAGTTTAAGAACAAAATTCGAAAATAACCATTCTTTAAGCAGCGAGCAAACAGTCAAAGCCAACATGGAAAATTCATAAAAGAGGTTCCAAATGATACAAAAGCAATTAAACAAAATATCAAATAGTGACAAGTTCTCATTTCTTCCCAAAATCATCTTCAAACGTGTCGAAATGGAAGGAAAGAATTCATTGCAATGCTAAACACAGAAGTTTCCACAGCTTGCAGCAACAATAAACTCAACTAAACGTCAAGCCTTAATCCTCAAGACGAAATTCAAAAACTTGCCAAAACCGTATCCGACATGTTCATACAAATTTGGAAAGTTTAAATAGAGGATCTCGATTTATTTAAGTAGAAGAATCGATAAAAGCTATAAAAAGAGGAAATCACAGCGAGTTCAAAAATAGAGGAGAAACTCCACAAATTTCCCAGATCAAAACCCTAAGAAATAGAACAGGAAGTTAGAGAACTCATCCTTTTAAACTCCGCCGCGAGAAACCCCTATCGCGAATCCATCACCAGAATCCCGCCGGAAATAACATTTCTGTCAGTGAAACCCTCCTTCAAAGCCATCGTCGCCATTGCCGCCGCGGATCCACCACCTTCGAAACCTGCAATTTCCATTTTTTTTAAAACGTAAGAAATTTTTTTGCTAACACTTTGTTTTATTTATGTAGGAAAACAGAATGGAGGAAAAGGAAGTTCAGAGAACGGAGGAAGGAGGAGCTTTCGCGAAGAATGGAGATGAAAGGAAGAGGAGAATGAATCACGGAGGAAGAGAGTGAAAGAAATAGAAGAGGAAGAGGAGAACGGCGACCGAGAATTGGGGGGGAAGGGATTAGGTTTCTCTGTTGTTTTTATTTATTTGTAATGTTAATCACGTGCACACACGACCATGGTCCATCATCACATGCAACCGTCTATCATCATCAGATCACAATCACACGCACCACAATGCATCCCCACAGTGCATCTCTACCTGCGCACCACATGAGACCAGCCGCCCCCTCTATTTATCAACCTGATTAACCCTTTTTAAACCCTTAATATGCCCCCTAATTAACCATATAATCATTAACTTTATTTTATTTAACTAATTAACCTTTAATTAACTCTTTTAAAAATCAGCTATTTTATTTAATTAAATCAATTAATTTCTTTATTTATTTAACAACTTTCTCCTTTAATTAATTAACCTTTTTCTTTAATTTATTTAATAACATTTTATTAACTTCTTTATTCCACCAACTAAGTAATTCTTCTTCAATAATATAATATAAAAAAACCTTTTCATTTTTTTAAATAATAAGATAAAATATAACAAACCTCTTATTTATTTTGGAAATTCTTTTATTAGAATTTAATTAATTTATAACTAAAAATCAACTTATTTAATAACCCTTTTTATTATTTTCAAAACCTATTTATTTCATAATTTTAATTTTGCTAAAAAAACTAAACATAAGTTCCTTAAAATCAATCTCGCATAAAACTCAATCAACACGCGCACACGTTACCTTTGCGTTCTAGCACCGATTCTATTCCGTTTATTCACGACCCCGCTCTTGGCTCGTCTTTTATGCTTTAGCTGTGTGTATGATCTTATTTTATCATTGTCTTTATTTTACCGTATTTATTTTGTCGCATTGCATAATGTCCAAAGGAAGAACCTACGCATGACTTAACACTTGTGCGTATTGCTTTTCATCTTGCACCATAATCCCCACTCGATCCTTGATCCTTTTCAAGTTGATCGCTTAAGTTTAGATCCTACCCCTTAAGGAGGACCTTTTTCTTTTACAACTTAGATAAACCCTATTCAAAACATTCAAAACTATTCCCCATTAGAGAATAAGATGTTAGTCATCTTGACAGTCGAGAAATAAATCTCCTGCCCCATAACACAATCCTGTGATGTAGATCTTTTCCTCTTGAGGGAGATAGTGGCATACTCATCGACAACTCCGAGTGTTTGAGCCCTTCTCTCAAGACTATGCAAAGACCATCTCCTACAAGTTGTGGTGGTTAAGTTGAGTGTTCCCCCTCGAGATGACGACTCATCTTTTCTCCTAGAATCAATCAATCAACAACCCTTTATCCCTTAGGAACTTTGACCAACAGACAAAGAGTTCCTCAAACCCTTTAGGGGAACTACAAATACTCTGATTCCATTCCCGTCAGGATATGTAGGCATAAGATGCGATGTCTTGGCGAGTATACTTAGAATTAAACCACTAGGTCTTTTTATCCTTAAGCAGATAACCTTTAGCCATAAACACATTTAAACAAGAGGTTCTTGTAGAGTACTACAGAAACTTAGGATGCTAGCACCTTCCCTAAGTTTAATCAACCCCGAACCTAAACTCTCTAGCTTTTGCATTTGCATTGCATTATAGGTAATTCGATCTTGTTCCCTTCCTTTGGAAAAATTAAAGACCAGTGGTGAACCAATGAATTAAGATTCAAATTAACTTATAATTTGACATCCAATTCTCACCGCGATAGAAATGGCGACTTCACTGAGGACTCCTTTGTGGGTTTCCCTAACTTGTTTTACTTTGCTTTGTTTATTTGTTTTATATATATCTGCATATTTGTATAATTGCTTCTATTTATTGCTTTTGGGTTGATATCCTTGAGTGGTGAGACAAAGTCCTACACCCGGACTTGAGTGAACTTATTATAGGAAGGTGATATATTAGACGAGGCTTGTAGGGAGTGATTCCCGACCAAGCTGACTTGAGAATCACCGCTCAGTTGAGGCCCTTTTGAAAAGTAGTATTGTTGAATGAGTATTCGTGAAAACATTCAGTATTTTTGATTGAAGCCTATGATACTGAGGACCGTAGTTACCTTTAACCCCACTTTGGCCTTTATTAGGACGTAGTGCGATGACTATGAGGGAGTATTTTCGAAATAGTTGATACGCGATGCTACACTCAAAAGAGGTTCTCTTGAAAATATTATTAATCATTGAGTAGTCGGGAAATTGATAATATCCGAAAGATGGACTAATGATTTTGGGCACCTTTTTAG